TATTAATCCATTAACATATTAATAAATCATTTATATATTATTTATTAATCTTATAAATTAATATCTCTCCTTTCATAATTTCCTTGTCCAGTTGCTAGGTGAGGGCAACCCAAAAAGGATTGTGCTGCTATCAATTCAAGTACATACCAATTATAGTTATGGGCTTAGACACCTAATCCAACAGTCTCCCACTTGGATAAGTCTGTTAACTATAATGCTAGTATGCCTTCTAAATTTGACCAGCAAATTGTAGCTTCCAAAAGCTGCTGCCGAACTCTGACCTAGTCAGTTACGTGTCCTAAGATAAGTGATCTATAACCCTTCGTTCTGCTTGATATCCCCAGACAAAAGACATGGAATGTATCAATCTCTTTGTCCAAATCTATGTTTCCCGATTCCTGATTTGTGATGATGTAGGACTTCTATTCGAACACATCAATTTAGTCCTGGCTGGGCCCAGCACATAAGTCAACACCAAATCATCGAGGGGCCCACAGATATCGCTTTCCTGTTAGGGCAAAAGGAACGAAATAAAAACGTTAACTCATGTGCTTGTATCTTTTACTCATCAAATTATGCATGACAATAAGTTTTATAACACCAAGTTACTGATGCGTTTTCGTATCACCAATGCACAACCGACTGTTAATTACAACTCATATATCTTCGTTTCAAGATTATAAGATATTATCGTCTCAGTATTACTCGTGATGAATTCCTGAAGTAATACTCTGAGCGAGGGTTTATCCAATACTCAAATCTCAATTCTGAGTACTCATGAACGTTGCAGCAATTCTATTGCCATGTCTATCTTAGACAATCTGCAATCCAATTCATGACAGTCTTAATTCACTACTTACTTCCAAGAGTACGAGCGACTGTGGAGTTTGAATAATCTCATTATTCAGGAAGTAAAACATGCAAAAATGAAACACAATAATAAACAATTGACAAAGGTAGTAGCCAAGCTTATAAATAATACTTTTTATTTTAATCACCAAAAGTCAATTACATTTACTTTGTTACAAGTTTCAAAACTAATCTAACTACTAAAACTAATATCATCTTTCAGTCCTATGCTCCGAGCATGCTGAATATGCTTAGCCCTACTCAGACCCTTTGTGAGGGATCTGTTGGGTTATCTTCAGATGACACCCTCTTTACTATAAGATGGCCTTCTTATACTCTATGTCTGATGAAATGGTACTTTCTGTCGATATGTCTGGTCTTACCATGATCTCTCGGTCCTTTGTCAAGGCAACCGCTCCTTCATTATCGCAGAACAGTTCCATAGGCTCTGGATGGTTGGAACAACTCCGAGATCCCCGATGAAGTTCCTCAACCAAGCTACTTCTTTCGACGCTTCACTTGCTGCTATGTACTCTGATTCACAAGTAGAATCAGCCACCGTATTTTGCTTGGAACTCTTCCAAGTAATGCTCCTCCCTCCAGTCAGTAAAAATACCCAGCCGACTGAGAACGGAAGTTATCTCTATCCGTCTGAAAGCTGGCATCACTGTAACCATCTACTCTCAAAGTATCACTGCCACCAGCACAAGAACCCAGTCCTTTGTCCTTCGCAAATACTTGAGTATATTCTTAAATGCTATCCAATGAGGCTCTACCTGGGTTTCCCTGATAGCGACTGACCATGCTCAAAGCAAATGCCACATCAGGGCGAGTACATGTCATAGCACATGATCGATCCGACAGCGGAAGCATAAGGTACACGACTCATGTCATCTATTTCAACATCTGTACTCGGGCATTGAGTCTTACTCAATTTGGTATTGCTTGGGATAGGTGTAGCTCTCCCTTCTTGGAATTTTCCATACTAAACCTCTTTAGTACCTATCCAAGTATGTGCTCGACTAGTCCAATAGTCTCTTCTTTCTATCTCGTCAATATTCTATCCCAAGAATATAGGCAGCTTCTCCAAGGTCTTTCATGGCAAAAACACTTCCAAGCCAAGACTTAACTTCTTTCAGGTTGGAACGTCGTTACCATGAGTAATTATGTCATCGAAATAAAACACCAGAAAAGTACTATACTCCCACTAGCCTTGATATACACACCATAACTCATCTTCACTTTCTAGAGAAACCAACTCTTTGACTTTCTCATGGAAGGCAAAGATTCCAACTGCGAGATGCTTGTTTCAATCCATAAATGGATTTCTCAAGCTTGCACCACTCTATTGGGGACTTGCATCAACAAAACCCTCTGGCTGACTCATGTAAACATCTTCAGCCAACTTCCCATTAAGGAAAGCAGTTTTGAAGTTTTGAATCCATCTGCCAGATTCATAATCATGAAAGGCAGCTATGGCGAGCAATATCCTAATAGATTTAATCTTAGCTACTGGCGAGAAGCTATCTCATAGTCAACCCCTGGGGTTTGAGTGAAACCTTTGCAACAGTCGAGCTTTGAATGTGTGCACATTCCCATCCATGTCTGTCTTCTTCTTGAAGATCCATTGCACCAACGTCTTGCGACCTGGTGCACTATCATCAATTCCAAACTTGGTTGTCATCATGGACTTAATCTCGCTGTCCATTTGCCTCTTCCACTTGGAAGCCTCTGGGCCTGCCATTGCTTCTTTTTATAAGTGACTGGTTCATCTAAGTTACCAGTGTTCTGTCACTTATGAATGTGTCACCATCTGAAGTAATATGAAAACCAAACAAAACTCAGGTGGCACACTCCCCTAGTGGATCTTCTAAGAGGTAATGAGTTATCATTGGTTCAACAGGAAACTGTTTCCTCTGGTGAGTGCTAGTGTCATCTAAGGTTCCTTCATTGGCTGACTCTTGAATTTCTTCAAGGTCAATAGTGCTCCCACTGTCCTCTTTGAATATGAGCTCTCTTTAAAGAAAGACTCCTCTCGTGTGCTACAAAGACCACGTTCTCACTGGGCTTGTTAGAAACAAATATCCAAAAGACTGCTTGGGGACCAATGAAAACACATTTCTCACTTCTAGGCTGCTAGCTTGTCGTGAGTCTCTCGTCTTACGAAAAGCTTCACAACCCCAGACTTAATATGTTTGCTAACGAGGGAACTTTCCCTGTCCACATTTCGTGAGGTGTTTTGGCAACCTTCTTTGTAGGGACAAGATTTGAGGATGTGGGCGGCTGTCTCTAAGGCATACCCCCAGAAGTGAATAGGAAGCGAAGCCACGATCATCATAGAACGAACCATGTCTAACAAGGTTCGATTGCGCCTCTCAGCTACACCATTTAACTGTGGTGTCCTAGGAGGAGTCAATGTTGAGACTATCCCCACTTCTTTCAGATAGTCGTTAAACTCGATACTAAGATACTCCCCGCCTCTATCGGATCTAAGTATCTTTATCTTTCGCCCAATGATTTCGACTTCATGCTTAAATCTTGAACTTTTCAAAAGTTTCTGACTTATGCTTGATCAAGTAGATATATCCCTATCTGCTATAATCGTCAGTGAAAAGTCACATAGAAATCGATTAGCATCTCTTGTAGTAATCTAAAGGGCCCACACACATCAGTGTGTATGAGATCCAACAAACCTTCACCTCTTTCACAGAACCCTTGAATGGTGATTTGTCAGCTTTCCCACAAGACAAGATTCACACAATCATCTGATTAGGTCAAATGATCCAACACTCCTCCTTTGGATTGGGCTATGCGTTTCTTGTTAATGTGTCCAAGACGACAAGCCACAAGCATGCTTGTCTACACTTTTTGACAAGTCAATAAGTACACTATTTCATAGGCTATCAACCAAGTCACTGTTTCATACACACCAGTACAAGGCAAAGCTTCAAACATAAAACCACCATTCTTATAAACAGAAATTGGAACCATTCAAATCTTTAAAAAGAATATGTAAAACCTTGTCTGAACAATGCATGAAATGAAATAATGTTCTCGTCATCTCAGACGAATAGCAACAATTATTAAATCTAATCTACATCATTACTAAAGCAGAAGCTGATAAACTCCGATCTTGGTTACTGGTGAAGGATTTTGTCTTTCCCATGATCAGGTTTATCCTTCCTCGCTCTATCTCCTCACTTTCTTAGACCCTGCAAATCAGAACAGATATGAAAAACCACATCCTTATCAAGGACCCACGAACGAGAAGATAATAGTATAGCGAAATAGTGTAAATACCTGCAGAAGATGGCTTCACTTGGCCATCCTTGATTCTTGCAATATTTTGGGCAAGATCTCTTCCAATGCCCCTTTTGGATGCAGTAAAAGCAAACTTACCTCTTTTGATTAGAAACATGGGGAGTGGAACCATTGGGTTAGCCTTTGGCCATTATAGATGACCCAGCTTAGCCTTGCTTTCCAGTTTTGCTTGGGAGGACCTTTCCTCTTTTCCCCTTTCCTGTACAATAAGCAAAACAGGGGCACTCGTAGGTGTGAAGGGTATACTTTTACCTTCATCCCCGCCTCAGCTTCTGCAACAAGTTGTGCAATTGGGCCAAGGTCTGCTCAGTATTGTTCAAATGGTAAGTTAGAATAAACTGACATAACATTCAGGGGGATAGTGAGGTTCACAGACATGTCAATGGCCAATTCCTCATCAAAGTGAATATTGAGCTTGACCAAAACGCTCTATGTAGCGTTGCATTCTTTCCAGTGGACACAACGAGCTCCCCATCTTTCATCTTGCAAGC